GTTCTGACTCATCCAAGGCAGTGCCACATCTTCGGAGCTTGCTAGGGCGATCCATGTCAGGACGACACGAGACTGCTAGCGGCTAGTGCAGTCGTTGTCGAGTCGTAGGTACGATCTACATGATCCATTTAAGCACGTAGTCTGCTACTCGCATTCTCTCGGTACAGCGATTTGGTTTCCCGTGTTCGAGCTGTCCTTGTGAAACGCTCGAACAAACTTTCACTGCGACGGCAAAACCAAAATTCGATATTGAGCCAAAAAATTTCTTAATTAAAAAAAAGGTTGCAAAGCACTCAAAGCATGTTCGTGAAGCTAATCCGCACACATCTGCTTTCGGTTCAGCCTCGGGCTGCAGACTTGAGGAAGCTTGCAACGACGAGCCTCTGAACCCGCAACCCGAGGCGAGCCACCTCGGACATCAATGGGCACCGGAATGTGTTGTCTGTGTTCTATGTTCCGAACAGCAGCAGAACAGGCAACGCAGAAGGGATGCCACTATTTACGTATCCGTATCAGACTACCGAAGCATGCCAGCATGTCAGGCACTGGGCTCAAGGCACCCAGAAAGGAAGGCACCACCGCCCTCGAACGGCCCTGGCATGGGATGGCAGTGCTGATTCACGCTGCTGATGGCACTCTGAATTTGTTGTCTCGCGGACTTAGACTCAACTGACAGTGCGACAGCGATTGCTGATTAAGTAAACAGAAGTGACCGACAAACCGGATGATGGAGGTCTGGCCTGTCACCACAGCAAGAAGCAACACCGGCCCACACCGGCCGCCGCCCGTGCCTTGTTGGTTTCAACTACGGTTGCAGGGTAGGGCTTCTAGTTTCTAGTCTCGGCTCGGTTCGGTTTCGGGATCGGAGCTAGCCTAAGCTAGCAGCAAGAAAAGACCCCCATACAACAGCCTACAAGTTTTCGCTTGGCTGAATAGCTACATAATACGAATACAAACGTATGGGGGAGCACGGGGCTAATACAGGAGGTGCCAAACTACGAAAAAATAGTTATGGGCATGCACTAGGGGGCCAGCCGGGGCCAATTAAAATCTGTACGACCGATGTAGACTCTTTTGGCCCACTTCTGCTTGGCAACGCTGGACGCAAAGGCTCCCAAGGAGGTTTTGTGGCTTGGTGGGTCAATTTGGGCAATATGGGGCCCGAAGTGGCTTGAAAGCGAAAAAAGAACAAAGTTCCTGCTCAAAGTGCTGGGCCGACAGTTTTCCTGAATAATCACTGAACATGCTAAGTTTAATACAAACCGACCCCCACCGTCGCTAAACCGTCGCTAAACCGTCGCTAACCGTCGCTAGCCCAAAACTAAACCCTAAATTACCTCTGCTGGGTAACCCACCCCGTCGCTAAACCGTCGCTAAACCGTCGCTAAGTGTCGCTAGGCCAAAGCTAAACCCTACCCGCCCTACCCGACCCTACCCCCCCGCACTGTCGCTAAACCGTCGCTAAACCGTCGCTAACCGTCGCTAAACCCTAAACGGACCGCCCCGGACACCCTGGCTAGCCCACAACCGCTTTTACAACCGCTTGGTGCCTGGCCGACCCGCCGTCCAGACAAAAAGACCTTTCAGGCCCAAAAGGGCCTGCCACCTCAGCAAAACGGCTCACTTCACCAACGAATGTGCCTCACCGGACCCGGCGCAACCCACACATCCAAAAACCCGCGAAAGTCGCTGCTGCACTACGACGCAAAGTTACTCAAGCCACATCACGATGAAAAGGCTCTTGAACTGCAGCACTCCGGGGCAAGGACCGCCGCATGAATGCAATGGCTCCCCCACCTGGCGAACTGAGCACGCATCTTCCGCTGCAAGCACACGGTGGCATGTTTCTGGGATACTTCGGGGCTATCTGTCTCAGCTTGCAGAATCTGTCCTGCCTACAACCAGCCTACAATCCCTTACAACTTACAACTGAAGCCGACCAAACACGAGGCAAGAAAACTTACAGTGATCAGGCCTTGCCATCACGAAGTATTGCAGCAAGCACCAAGCAGCCGCCATGAAGAGACCTGCAACGCACGCCAACTTATCTTCTGCTGCCGCTGCACAAAGCCCCCGCTGTGACAATGGAAATCTATTCTGCATTGGTCAAGATTGCAGTCATGCTCTGCGATCTAGCTGGCTTACAAGGCAAATCCCGGCAACGATTGCAGTCGGCTAGGAGGTCCTGCGAAATTCCGTGGGGAAAGGTTCTTGCTCAACACAGAACATTGAAGCAACAAGTCTCTATACTGTCAGAATGCAAGACGGCAACAAGCAAAATCTGGGGCTGGCCTCCATCCGCTGTGCTCGGGCGAAGACGGAACAAGTCAACTACTGGAACTGGAGCTGCTGCTGCTACGGCTGCTATTGCTGCTGCCTTCGGCACACTCAGACTCAGCATTACTGCTTGAACTGCTTTCGGGATCTGAAGCAGCTTCGTCGCCCCCAGCGGCAGGGGCAGGAGCACCTGCAATGGAAGGCCCNNAGCGGAAGCCGAGCTTGCCTTGGCTTTCGGCTTTGATTTTGCTTTACTTTTGACTTTGGCCTGGCCCTTGGTCTTGGCTTTAGCCTTGGCCTTGGATTTCGCTGCAGCTTCTGCATCATCCAATTCTTTGTCCGTTTGCACACGATCCGGCGGTGGATCAAGGAGAGTCTGCTGCTCCACAACGGCAGCTGGAGGGATATCTTCTGGTTTCAGGGGCATGCGGAGATGGTCACGCTGCCTCGTATACCTCGTGGCCATGTTACACCAGTGGGCTAATGCAACATAGCACTCCTGCTCGGCTTCGGCGGACAGGCCATTCAATCTAAGGAACTTCTTGCAGCCAGTAGTACTGTTCTTGCGATGGTACCTACAACTCGCCTCCACTCCACCGAAAGGTGGAGCAGAGTGGGGCTGCTTCCTACTGAATGAAAAGCCAGCACCATAGCCTGCACTGTTACGCTCTTGAAGGCGAGCCACGGTGCCAGCCAACAAGCTTGCCGAACTAAGGTCATTTGCCACACTTGCGGCATCAAGGATCCCTGCACCAGCTGGAACTGCTGGAACAGGCTCGATAGAAGACCCTGCTCCTGGCACTGGAGCCGCAGGTGCTCCGACCAACCCGGCAGCACTTGAACTTGCCTCTGCCGCACCACCTTCTTCTGCACCCAATGCAACCCCAGCTTCGCCCTCGTCGGCCCCTGTTGCGATCAATCGCTCCAGCTCTTCTTGAATTTCCTCTGTGCAAACACTGGCCTTGTCCTCATCTGGACGATCCTCGCCTAAGTCCGGAACATCCTGAGCCCGGTCCTTCAAAGCGTTCCGAGCTCTCTTGCTGACCGGCGCGGCCGCGAAGTCCCCCTCAACATCTCCGTCCATTATTTGCAACCTGGGTGCCTTCCTCTTCGCGGCGACATCCTCCAAGGCAGTCTGCAAAGCCTCTGACGAGGGTACTCCCGACAGAAGGAGCTCGTAGGTCTTGGCCGGGGCGGCATGTGGTATCCACTCGGTGCCGTGAGTGTGCTTCAAGTTCTCAGCATCTAATAAGCAGCACAGATAATTTTTGTTTACATTCCACACAGACGAATGCCAAACACGCGGCTCACCGACAATGTACTTCAGCACCGCACCTTTCTTGGCTCTGGGTTTGGGATGCATCTGCCAACCTTCTGACCTCATTCGAATAAGTAGCTGGCCTAGCGAGCAATCCTGCAACGGGGTGCCACGGCTGTCACCAAACGGGCTTGGCTGCTCCAGCCTGCGGCTAACCTGCAACTTGCGGATGCCCTCTACAGAAAGAATCCAGCCACCCTGGGACTGCTCCGCCACGCCGCATGCCTCACACTGTTCA